TTAAATATTCTCTGGAATTAGTTTGATTTGATTTTTTATATTTTACAGGTATAAAATGACCTAAAATATTATGTATCTGAATAATGTTGTCTCTACTGTCTGAATAGAAACTATTTTTTCACAATTTGACATTGCAAATCCTGGCATTATTATCAATACTAAAATGATATTGAATTGATGATGAACTCGCCAGTTTATACCATTTAATGTAGGCTAATTTATATGTCAAATTTTGGGAAAATAAATGAACGCTATGTTCAAAAAAAAATTGAATTTGACCTGCATAAGTATCAATGCTCTTTCCATCATAACTAATTATAGATGCCTGCCGAAACCTCCTCAAAATAATTTCATCATACCCTTTTCTATGTTTTTAATATAGTTTTGACAGTTTCGGCTTTCATTGTATCAAAAAGGTTTTGTCGTATCTCTTATTATGATTTTAATATAGTTTTGTCTAAGTTTTGACTGTTATTAAAGGGTTTCGTCTCTCATCATTATGACTAATAAATTTAGCTAAGACGAACAAACTTTTAATATGTCGTGATAAAGCTGCAGATACAAAATTTTCTGCACTGATTAGATATCTTCTATATCAATTCACTCTGTTGATAACAATCGTTAAATTGAGCGAATCTTTCATAAATAGTTTTCTGAATATTAAATCCACATATATATCCTTATAATAATATTTGATAAGTAATTCGTAAATTTATTCATCAAGACAAATATCTTCAGATTGCGATGCTAGAAATTTGTCCAGAAATTCCTTACATCCAGTAATTGGTAATTCCAATATATTCTTGGAATTCATCAAAAATTGATACATTTCATCTATTGGTAATTCAGAAAGGGATCCAACAGAAGGTCGTTTATAAAGTAATTCGAGCTCTCTTACTTCTGAACATGAACTGATAATATCATTTACTTGTATTTCAGTCATCAATCGATATATTAGTTCAGGTTTGATTTGACGGTGGCTGTTAGGCAAAGATCCTAATAAAATAATTTTGAATAATTATTATTATATTAAACATAATTGAAACAATAACACAATAAATAAATTTAAATTTATTTCACTTAATACACCATTTATCCGTTCAAAGCTAAAACACCAAAATGAATATAGGGTCTGTAATCATAAGAATATTCATATAGATGCAATGATAGGTAAAGGTTTGGCATTATTTTTCCTTATCCATAGTGCTCTTCAATCAATTTAATTATTTTAATTAATTCATTATAAGCTTCCTTCATGTCGTTAACCTCCACAATTCATCTACCTAAAATTGTACAAACTCTTACGAAATACATAAGAATTTTCTGATCTTTATCTGAAAGATGATTCCATAACACAACGGTGGCATATATTATAAGGAAATTTTATCACTGATCAGCGGTAAAATTAGAGAATCCTTCACCATAATGGATTTTACCAGGAATTCGACCCAAATCTGATGGTACCTTGAATTTATTCATTTTCTTCTGAATTGATTGGAGATCTTTTTCCGTTAATACACCTTTATCAATCCATATTTGTTTTGTTAACCACTTAGCAATTCCTAAATAAAGGCAGTGCATCAAATCAATGATAACAAAATGAATCAAATCAAAATATAACAGCCACAGTAGTTCAGACTACCTTACGTCATGCTCCTTAGCAAATCTATCTCTTTCTGCTTTAGATTTACATCGCTGCCATTCTAGAGCATTTTGCCAATGTTTGCCTTGATCTTTCATAACAAACCATTCGTTCATATCTGCTATTTCACTAAAGTTACATTGTTTGTTAGCCTTTTTTTCAATCGATGACATGATGCAAGAGCAAAGATGTGTTCGCATAATTTACGAGCTGCAGAAATATCACAGGAAGCAATTATTAATGCAGCTTAAATATCTTTACCATCTGGATACTCATTGGTATAATTAATAGTTATACCTTCCCAAAGTGACTCTAATTCTGTAATTATAGGTGAAAGGTAATGATTTATTTTATGTAAGCTAACCTCGTTAGGTCCCAGTAATATGCCAAGTATAAGCATATTTTCTGGCTTAAATCAAACATCACAAGGTAGATTATATATTACCATATATATTACGTTTGTGCTATATGTCGTCCCTTTGTATAGATAGAATTAGTCCAAATTCATTATTAATCCAAGATGAGTATCAGCTATTTCAGGTTGAAAAAATTATTTGACCCTTGTTCGAATGATTCTTTAAGATTTTGCCATACTTACCCATCGTAAATATCTGATAAAATATTATTAATTGTTGAACAATGAGCCTAATGCCGTAATAATTCTTCAAATCCTGGTCATCTAAACATACTAGAAATTTATTGTTATATACTTGAGACAAGATATACTAATTCAGAAACAATTGATATACTATTATTTAAAGAAATCTTCTTTTCTAAGAGAGCTCGACATTGCTTTGATCCCTTTATAATCAAATTTGGAAATTCGATATGGCTACACTTTCTAATAGTATTATTGTCCTTTGACATTACCTTATGTTTTTTGTATAATTTATAGCATTTTTAACAAGCTGCAAATTGCGTAAATTGATTGATAAGGCCTAATGATTTTCTTAATATATATAATAAATTTGGAAATGATTCATGATCGATACTTTTACAATCTTTCAAAACTATTTTAATAAATTTAATTAAGTTATCAATTGTGGTATTAGATATATTATAACTCGACCTGAACTTCATAATCCATATCAAAATCCCTTTAATTAGTTCATCTTTTGGTAATTCTGAAGTACTGGATGTATCAAAATTGAAAATAGAATGTGAATAATTCTCGAATATATTTAAAAAATCATTGTCATCATTAGACAGATCTTCTTGTGCTGAAGATTCGCTGATGTTGTTATTGTTTGTATCATATTCGGTTAACACAATGTTATCGGAATCTTCAGAATCTACCTCTACTTACTCAACTTCAGTTATAGGATGAAATGTGTCCATTTTTGTCCTTCTTTTATATGGAGAAATTTTAATTTTTGTTCTTCGTGTATATTATTATCAGATGTATGTGATGAATTTGTATCACTCAACATTATTGTATCTTGCGATTCTACTAGCAATATTGTTATATCTTGTGATTCTAGTAACAACATTATCGAATCAAGCATTTCTACTAACACTTGTGATATCAGAGTCTCATTAATAGGTAAAGACCATAAAGATGTTGATCGCTCTTCATATGCTTCTTTTGTGCGCAGATTAACCGATTTTTCTTTACATTTGCTGCAAAAAAACTGAACCTTTGCTCTTGGTTTTCTGGTTGTAAATTCGTCATTTTTAGTTGAAATTTGATTAGAACTCAGATTATTATATTTGTCTAATATATAATCAGCAGTGCATTTTCTTCCCTTTTTTCACATTTTTTTTTGATAAAAAATTGTTAAATCAATTAAACTGGGTAAAGTTATAGTTTGTCTTGTTTTTATAATAAACAAAAATACATTGACTTTTATGTATTTTTTTATATTTTAAAAGGTTACGGTATGTTTTGCTGAAACCCGTTCCGCTGAAACCCCCTTTGCTGAAGCCAATTCACTGAATGTCCATTTCGCCGAATGGATTTTTCACCAAAAAGAAGTTTTGCTAAATGAACATTTCACCAAGAGGATGCTTCGCTAAAATGACGTTTTGCCAAATCTGTTTTGCCGAATGGATACTTCACCAAATCCGTTTCACTGAAAGACATTTTGCCAAAAACGAAAATAATTCGCTGTTGGTTGTTAGCAATTTGCCAGATTTATTGAACTTTTTTTATTATTTCCAACGAAATTATTAAGAAAAATCTTATTTTATAATGTAGAACCTAAAATGATAAGTTAAACAAATGTACACAGTAGTCATTTTCAGTGAAATGTCCTTTCAATGAAATAGATTCAGCGATATATCCGTTCGGCAAAAAGGATTTGGCAAAACAGCATTTCGGCAAAAACGTCTTTAAGTGAAAAGTCCATTCAGCGAAGTGGTCATTCAGCGAAAAGTTCTTTCAGTGAATTAGCTTCAACAAAGTGGGTTTCAGCGAAATGGATTCAGCGAAACGTCTGGATACCATTTTAAATTAATAATATAATATCAATAACATTGTTTTACTAATTTATGCGAGTTTAATTTTATTAATAAAGTTATATATGGAGGTGAATGCACTTAATAATATTTAACTCTGTTGATTTACTGATATTAGACTTTGATTTATTTAATTGATATTAATACATTTATATTGATTTGATATATATCATATCTTTTGATTTTAAGAGAAATATTATTTTGATTTAATTTGATCATTAATAATTGAATCCAATTGATATGAAATTTAAAAATAGTATAAAAATAGATATAAAAGATGGATGGATTTTCTCGTCTTATACAAAGAAATATTCTCTTTTTTTTTAAAAATATAAATGTCTCACAGGAAACCTTCATCAAAATATTCTCAACCTGATACTTCACAAAATAACTCACCTTCATCAACCTTTTCTCAACTTAATAGATCACGATATAATACAAGTTCATTAACATCTTCTCAACCTAATAGATCATAAACTTTAACAAATAAACCACAACCTTCAACATCATTAGACTCATTGTACTAGCAAATGTTTTAGCTTCAATAGGTCAAATATTTTCAACACCTCCTTGATCTAAAGCATCAGCTTCGTCAACAACTCCTCAACTTAATACACTAAAAAAATTCACAACTTTGTCAACAACTCAACTACGACCTCAGCTAACTACACTACAGATCACAACAACTTCATTGACACCTTCTCATCTCATTATACGAAACAATACACCTACAGTATTTTCTCAAACTTCTAATCAAACTTCTTCTCAAATTTCTAGCGAAACATTTTCTCAATCTTTCAGTCGAACTCCTTCATAATTATCTAACTGAATTCCATCTCAACAAAGTATGATGACATCAGATATTATTATAAAATATCCTAATATCAATGTATCAAGGAGTTACCGATCAAGTCACGAAGAAGTAACAAATCACCAACCAAGTCATGAAATTCATGAAGAAGAAGCGGGTAAATCGAATTTATTATATTATAATAATTATTATATATATATATATATATGCTTCAACGTGATTCAATACACATTCATATAATTTAAATAAATAATTTAGTGCTTGAGAATTTTAAAAAGGAAAACAATCAGCTTTAG